TGGTTTATGCTTTTTGTATCCTAAGAAATGTTTGCCTACTTCAAAGTTCCAAATTTTTCTCCTATGTTTTCTTCTAGAGGTTTTATAGTTTTGGTTTGTACATTTAAGTTTATCTGTCAACCATTTTAAGGTCATGTTTTTGCCTGATGTGAGGTACGGTTGAGGTTCCTTTTTTCCCCAAGTGGATATCAAGTTGTTCAGCACCATTTGCTTCAAAAACTGTCCTTGTTTTTTTTTTTTTTCTTTTTGTTTGTTTTTCTTCTGTTTTCTCTCTATGCTTGTATTTTACAGAGTTAAGGGTCTGTTGTCTCTGTTTGGTGATAGCCCTCTGGACTCCTTGTAAGTGGAAATACTACTGTTGCTTGAGAAATGCTCCCTAGTTGTAAGGAATTTCAGCAATTATATTTGACCATGACATTTAGTAAAGTTTTGTGGGTGTGGAACTCGTGCTACCACATTCTCTGTGGTTTGTTAGCTCCTTGGAACTTTGGAAAAATGGAAAAACCTGGAGTTTAAGGGATAGAATTTGGAAGATGTTGAAAAATCTATATCAGTTCCAGGGGATGAAGTCCCAGACTCTAAGCAAGCACCTGAGTGAGGCCCCTGTAGCTGGATGGAGGAGAACGGGAAAAAAACTTTATACATAATTTGAGATTTAAATTTCCCTGAAGGAACAAATAAAAGATATTATATTGGTGCTTTAATTTTTCTAAGGAAATAGAAGACAGATTTGGAAAAAGTATTGTAGGGTTCACTTTTCAAAAGTGATGGTAAATTTGGTACATTTTCAAATACCGTGGATATTATACAGTGTATATTGGTCTGATTTCTAAATTATTAAGTAATCACTGACTTTAAATATGCTTCTATGCACACACGCACACACACACACACTGTGATGGCTAGTTTTATGTGTCAACTTGGCTGGGCCACAGTGCCCAGATATTTGGTCAAATATGATTCTGGATGTTTCTGTGAGGGTGTTTTTTTGGATGAGATTAACATTTAAATCAGTGGACCTTGAATAAAGCAGATTACCTTCCATAATGTGGGTGGGCCTTGTCAAATCAGTTGAAGGCCTTAATAGGACAAAGACTGACCTACTCCTAGCAAGAAGGAATTCTGCTAGCAGTTAGCCTTTGGAATTGAACTGCAACTCTGGCTCTTCGCTGGGTCTCAAGGCTGTTGGTCCACCCAGCCTCCATAATCATGTGAGCCAATTCCTTAAAATAAATCTCTCTCTTTATATATACACATTCTATTGGCTTTGTTTCTCTGGAGAACACTGAGTAACACACACACACACACACACACACACACACACACGCTCACTTAGGGTCACAGTCAAACTCATCTTCCTCCTTACCCCATTTTTTGCAAAGGATCATAAGCAACTGACTATTCAGTCAGAGGGGACTGCTTCAATAAGTTATGGTACATTTAGTGGCCATATCATAGAATATTATGCAGACATCAAATAGGTTGTGCTAATATAGAAAGATATATATACACATATGTATATATTAAATACTTGTATGTATCTCTGAATCTATTCACTGAAATAAAAGCAGGTGTAAAGCTTTTTGTACAAAAGCGGTCATTATGGTATTATTTGTAATGATAAATATAAAAATATATTTTTATATTTATTTATATAATAAAAATGTTGATAAATGGGAGACTGGTTAAATAAAAATGGTATACCCATACAAGGGATATCATGCTGTTGTTAAAAAGAATGAAGTAGATCTGTATGTGAAGTTTGGAACAATCTCCAAAAAATATTAATATGTGGAAAAAAGAAGTAAGGAACAAGATAATATGAAGGGTATACTCCTAGTTTTATGTATGTATTTGTGTGTGTGTGTGTGTGTATGTGTGTATAATCTGAAAGCATACATTAAAAATGTTAAAAATGTTAAGAAACGATTGACTTTGGCAAGGAAGATATGGAGACTGGAGTTGAGGGAGACTTACTTTCCACTGTATACTCTTTTGCACTATTTGACTTTTTTT